GCGCCAGGCGCTTAACCAACTAGACCACTGAGCCGGCATCCAAAGTAATTAATGTCTAACTTCAACCAATCCATGAAGTTGCGCCACCGTACACCATTGTCTTCAGTGAGTTGATATCTCACAACAGACGTGGTTGAACTCCACTGGTAACGGCTTCTCACTAGAACTCCAGGAGTATCTCTTGAAGTCAGTCATTAGTGAGCAGACTATGATGGTCTAGCTCCAATTGACTCATGATTTCAACCAGTGAAATAGTTATAACTTTAAGATCCAGTAAAATGAGACAAGAAAAGCAAAATAACCTTAATACCGTTGGTTTTTATACAAAAGACAAGTAAATAGGCCCATATTCGATATATAAATTCGGCAGAATCCACTTTAGATTAAAGTACGAAAGTAAGTGAAGGAGTGTTTGAAAATGACTGCTCAAACAATATATTATTATACATATATAAATATGAATTTTCAGGGTATTGTGGTCTGTTTTCAGTTTTAAAATGGAGCACGAAGGTTAAAGGGTTATTATATGTGCATGAAATCATTATTTGACCAATCACAATTCATTTTATGGGTTGAACTTAACCTAGTGGAATAAAAAGAAGAATTCGTAGAGTTTGCGGAAAAAAATCTATGTATCAATTATATGAATAACCTGTAGATGTGATATAAAGTTGAAGTTGATAAGGATATAATTTTGTAATCATTACCAGATTGTAACAACACATTGAGAAAACATTTTTATTATTTGCTTCACTTTTATACCGCAACACAATTCAGCAATGCAAATGCATTTCAAGACCAATAATTGACATTATTCACACTGTACCGAATATGTTTCTGTAAGCAGTAACCACTGCCAGTTGATTGCATAACACATGGGAAATGAACTAAATGTTATTTCAAGAAGATTAATATCAATTTTATTTTTATCTATTACGAAAAAGAAATCCTGAATTGCTATGTTTGAAGAGATTACGAGTTCACTTAGGTCTACAAACGGAACGAAGATGGTGGTTGTTGTAGTTCTCCAAGTTTCAGCTCCATACAGTAGAACTGCCTTGACGTTCGTATTGAAGATTCTCACTTTGATATTGGTTGAAAGTTGTTTTGAGTTCCATATGTTCTTCAATTGTAGGAATGCGACCCTTGCTTTGCCAATCCTTGCGTTTACGTCTGCATCTGAGCCTCCTTGTTCATCGATGATGCTTCCCAGGTATGTGAAGGATTCTACATCTTCCAGAGTTTCACCATCAAGAGTGATTAAATTGCTGTTCTCCGCTTTGAATTTGAGGACCTTGGTTTTCCCTTTGTGTATGCTGAGGCCTACTGATACAGAGACTGCTGCTACACTGGCTGTCTTTATCTGCATCTGTTCGTGTGTATGCGATAGGAGTGCTAGGTCATCTGCGAAGTCCAAATCGTCTAATTGATTTTGAGCTGTCCATTGTATTCCGTGTTTTCCTTCAGATGTCGAGGTCCTCATAATCCAGTATGAACAACAACAACAAGCACAATTCAAGAGTACATATACATCATTAAAATGTCTTTGGGAAACGTTACAAAATAGCATATTAAATGAGACAAGGAACCAATGACATTTAAGGTCCTGACAAATAGGAAATACGATATAAAGGTGAAAATGGGCGCTTTTGGCGTGAAAACAAGAAATTCAGATTCCCAAAATATAATTAAAGGAATAAGACATTTAACAAGGGAGTTCTATGGATCTAGCATATCCAACATGAATATTCTTTTCACAAATAATTTATCAAATCATCGTCAATAATTAAGTATTAGATGTAGAAAATGACGAGAGCTGAGAAGTCAACTGAACAATTTTGTCCTACACTGAAACTTATCAGTAATAAGGATCCATAGTTAAACAAGAAATGGGACGAAAAACTGCCAAATATCAGGGCGAACATGATATTTTGAGATCAATAAGTTAGAATTTAAGGTTTTGCATTTAAAACTTTAAATGTATTGCGATAATTAGAGCACACCAATCACTATTAATTTGAAATAATCTAATGCAATAATATCCTACAAACTATCATCCTACCAAGTTATGATCTATTAAGTTAAAATAAAATTATAAATGATCAAAGAATAACACAGGTCGTTGTTGGACCTTTTTGTGTGTAAAAATTCCAAGATCGTTATCTAAATAAACATTTGAACAATTGCGTTTACATTCAACTGCGATAATGAGAATCATTTGTGGAAACAGCCAAACACTTTAATTTAAATATGCCAAGAAAGAAATGTAAAAATACGGTCTAAAAACAAAACACTCACTAATATATATGATTTTAACTTAGTGATGTACAACCAACTGTAAATGAGTTAACAGGTTGATATTAAACATACGTAGGATTATTGTTTCACAATAAACTCACCTTAATGGATTTATCATCGGAACCACATATTATATGCCATGCATCACCAGTTAAACATCGTATTAAACTGCCCGATTTATAATCAGTTTTATATAAGTATTCATCTAAATATATCGTACTGGGATAAAATGCCCACGTTATACTACTGTTATTATTATTAGCAGTATTTGTAAGGCTGATGTCATGGTTATGACCATTTATCAATGGATTAAATGCTGATAAGTGTTTTGCTAATACTGTACCATCATGATAAGCTACAACAAGTCTATTCTGTGGATAATCCAAGTGTAAGCATGAAACTGATGAGGAAAATACAGCTGTTTCTGTCAAATTATTTCTATAAACTGGTCGAATAAGTGTATGATAACATACACCAGTTGAGATATTCCATATCTGAAAAACAATCATATAATGAAATGTTCAAGTGGAAATAATTTGAAAAATTGCAATTTTGAAGTAACGAAATATTTCTAGAATTTAAAAACTTGAAACTAAAGAAACCATTTACTGGTTATAAATGATGATACTGACTGGTTTATTTGGTAAGACCATATATATCTACACTCTTTTCTGGAATATTAAGCTGACTTCCTCAAGGGTTAGGATATGTTTATGAATTATGAAGTTCAGAATGTGTATAATCTGGACATATTACATTTACTTAATTTGATCTGAAGTCTCGACTATCACAAGCTGTTATTTTTATGATACTGTTTATTTAAAATAGTTTTCTTTGTGTATAACAGTTAGCCAGTTTTTCTAAACTATTAAGGATTTTTATTGTTGTAAATATAATGAAATTCTCAGTTGAGATTGTAACAGTTGAAATCATGATTTCGATTATCTCGTAAGATATTTGTAATAAACTGTGATTCAATGGATCTAAATTCTTAAGCTTTATAGTTATGACACTATCTCATATATTTAAAAAGAACACGCTGAATTAGCCTTTCAGTAGCGTTTTAGAGTACAATACACCACAGGATTCATCATTTTTCTATATTCCAAATAACTCCATATACTCGTATTATGGAGAAGGCGAAATGTCCTTCCATCAATAAAAGGACAAGTATACTGTGTGGCAGTTCGTTCTGTTCTACTTTATGGCTGCGAAACGTGGCCATTAGGACTTGAAGATATTCGTAAGCTACTAATATTTGACCACAGATGCCTTAGAAATATTGCTCGCATCTGCTGAGATCAACGGGTGTGTAATAGTGAGGCTAGATGCAGGATATTGGGGAACGATAAGGATGTAAATCTTCATCGACTGAGATGGTTGCTTGAACACCGATTACCACGACGCGCAATGCTGACTAGTGTTGGGGATGGTTGGAAGAAGGTTAGGGGCTACCAAGCCAAAATGTGGCATCAGTGCTTGAAGACACTAACTTCTGGTCTGAGCCATGTTGGTAGATGCAGACTATTTGGTTGGGGTTCGCGTGACTATTGTAACCAATGGTTGGAGACTCTTGGTGACATGGCTAAGAATCGATCAAAATGGCGTGGGTGTATACACTCTCTGTCTTACCTTAAACTATGAGATTGAAATCGCCTCATCTTTCCTTCTATCAACTAATTCTTCTTCCTGCACTATGTCCTCATATGAAATCTTTCTTTTATGTATTACAACCACTACTTCTATGAGTTCATCTTGTTGTGCTAATGAGGTATGGCAAAACTTGGACAGATGCACTTATGTGCCTGGTCCTACGTTGTGGCTGACTGACCATATACTCGTTTAGTTAGCTGCATTTCAATTGATACGGCCTCACATAAATTGTAAATTAAAATAATTTTCACCAAGAAGCCTCGCTTCAATGTAAGAAAACGTTTTATTACATTTAATGAAAGTGTGCAATTATCTAGATAAGAGTAGGTTGAGCAAGTTCAGTATTATGACACATGTTCATTTAGTTAATCATGAATTATGTATACGATAAGAACCTGTATTTTTTTAAATATTGAAAACAATTACGAACGAACTAACTGACCATAGGCCAAATTGATACGCTAAATTAACAACGTTGTTAAAAGATAAATTATTAAAAACATACACTTCAAATAGCGTCATTTTAAGATATAAACAAATAATACTAGTTAGCATTATCATAGCCCCCAAATGCGCTGATACTGCCGAGGGTGGGGAGAGTCAGTTTTCCCTCTCGAAATGCTTTCACATGACAACGTGCATACAACCACTGCCAGGGAAGCTTTACTCAATGCCTTCTCAAGACAGGGGTGTTGTTAACGAAATTGAGAGGATGAAAAGCGAATGTGCGGCGCTTTAACCGGGTTGGTGGATATGGAGGAATCACGTAGATGAGTTGGAAACCTCTGATTCCATACCAGTGGTGTACATGGGCTCCAGTACCCCGAGAGGACAAATGGCGTATGAACCAATCACTGGTCACCGACTACCATGGGACTGCATCTCATGACATTGCCCCATTACCTTGTGCATCAGACCTTAAGGTCGAAGGTTCCGTGTGTGGTCTCCTAAGAAAACTACCCGTTTCGGTCTGGGCACCCGGGAAGTATCACAGCCCACATACAAATCAAGTGGATTGTGTGGCGCACATGTATTTTGTGTCCCTCTGTACCAATATTTATGTGTTCAAATAGACAAACAAATAAAATAGCCTTATTATACATTTTTTAAGAGAAAATCCCCATAAAAATCTGTTTACTATTAAAACCAACTGACAGCTGTACCAATTACAATCAACAACAAATATGAGGAGTTGTTTTAATAAGAATTATTACTTAAGATCATAGATATAATATATGTTTATGAATCTGATGTTTTATTTGTGTACATTGTACACAGTGTTCGAATATTACCTATTGGTTAGTTTATTTTGATTCAAAACAAGTCAGACAAATTAACAATAATCTAAACCTTTGATAAATTTATGTAGTGTAATGAGAAGATCAAGATTATCAGAACTATATGACATATTAGCGTAATCTAGCCTGGTAATATTAGTTTACTATCCACCATGATGAGTTTCACATTGTTTTTCATATTACTTTCTTGATTATCTTTGTTTTCTCTTAGCACCCCATTTGTTTAGTTGACCTTTGTATTTTTATATATAAATATTATTAACAAATATATGTGTGATCAGATTGTTCGAAATATATTTCGCTAATATACCACATAGTTGTGATAATCTTAACCATTCTCATTACACTATTCAAATAATCTAACCCATCGATAACAACAACAATGTTTTCTATAAAAATGGAAAATATACTATAGTCAGAGTAGATAAAAACTATTAAAATAAAATAATTCTCCATGCAAACACAAGGATTCCTGGTAAATAAATCCATTATGCATTGGTTAGCGGGACATATATTAGATTAAAGCATACTCAATGCACGATTGCTGATTGAATAAGAGTTAGCCAATCAGCGCTAGTCGATACGGCAAGACTCTAATTTATGGACGAACCTTGAACGAATCTTAAATGACCTTGAGAATTATTAGCCAATCAGGAGTATGAAGTAAAAATATATTATAAGAAACTAATGAATTACAGTGGATATTCTTCTTTTACATGATTAAAAAGCTTGTTAAGTTTCGATAAAGGTTCAGATGTTCTGAAATCATAATGCATACGATATAGGAACTCGTCCATATGGCTCCATAATAGTCGTCCCCTAGAGCCGTGCTAGGGTTTTAAAAATTCCCTCAGTTTGGACCACATAACTTCAATATTATTAGTATGAACGCCGGTTGTAGGGTCGACGAAATGGTGCTTGTACACTACGACATGATGCATATGCCCAAGTCTATGTAGGCATCTATAAGCTCTCCAATCATCCGTATATACTGTAGTGCCCGGCTGCACGTATTCCTGTATAATTGGTATTATTGTGCTTGCTTCCGGTTTCTGACCCTCTGAAAATGCCCCTTTTGCGCTGATCGATCATAAATTCCAAATACCTGTCAAGTATATTTACGGAAGTGCTACTTACCCAATCTTCCTTGATACTATGTCCCCTATTGTATTCTCGCTTTCTCACTACTGTTTCATCTATCTTTACAATACATCCTACTCCTCCGAATGATTGGTGTAGACGTGTTATTTTAATTGCATATATATCACGACAATACTCATACCACTGAACTGCTGAAGTTTCAGTAACATCTGCAAACCCCGCAGCCAGTGTTACTGGTGTCTTTATTATCCAATTTGCAACTATCATCATGATCTGCCTCAGTTTCAGTCGCGATCGAGCGAAGAAAGTCTTCGTTCGAGCAGGCTTTTTCGTCCGACATAAAGAACAACGAAATACAATCTCATCACGGTAGTCTGCACACTTTACTTCAGCCATTTGATAACCACAGTCACAGGTATAGGAACTTTTTAGTAGTCTCATCTCTTGTAGCCTCTTAATAATCACTTCATCTCTAAAATCCGCTGTAAACCGATCGTATGTGAGCATCAGGTGTTGAACTTGGCCCCATGACCTTGAAGTTGCTCAAACGCTTCTGGTTGGCTCGTCTATAAATTAGAGTCTCGCCGTCGATACTTGAAGAACACTCTGTAATCCTCTCGTGTAAAAAACTATGAATATACTAACGTTTTTCTTATTGTGCTTCTTACTTCCATCTACCCTTGTTATTTGGAATATAATTTCTTTATTGTTCAACCGTGTTCTGATTTTGGAACTTGTCCAGTGAATTGGTGTCCAAGAATACTAAGCAATAGAAATAGCTGGGTTGTAATAAGAGAGAATTATAACAGTATTATTATTTAATAAAATTAGTACAATATTCCTACTAAGTGAATCGATCCGTAAACATGAACTATTAGAAAATCTAAAGAATTTAAGTATTTGGTTCGTTTTGCATGGCCAAGTGAATACACTATAGATGACAAATAAACATCAAAGTTATTCTTGACTCAGTTTGTGTACAATATGTTTTTTTTAAAAGAAAGGGATTTCAGGGTTTAATATAGTTATTGAAATAACAAATTATATGAATGTGTATAAGCAAACAATTTGTAGATATCAATCCCAAGTTAGGATTTGATAGCTGCCAATAAATTGTGCATTAGGCAGAAAGTTAATATTTTTTTGATAACCCAATGAGTAATAAACTGTATTTCTAACGTTTCGTGACTTAATGTAAGCCACTTCTTCAGAGTAAATAAAGAACCGTAATAAAATTAGTACAATTCTAAATAGTACAAAGGAAACAATGCAGAAAACAAATAAGACCAAATGTGGTTGTTTGATTAAACTCACAAAAAGATCTAATAATCCTGTAGAATTTGGAAATCTACAAGTGTAACCAGCAATAACAGTACATGCTATATTCAATAATCACCAAATTGATATCAAAATAATTCACGAGGGCTTTCCAACTATAAAGAGAGGTGAGTAGCGTTTCATAAAATGTAAAATCCATTTGCCCTTAATAGAAAAGAAGGCCTGAATATTCATCCAACTTGGACTGTTTATCCGAATAACAAGATTCGACCTTATATCCACAATCTACACGCACACACACACAGTTTCATCCCCACCACTTCAAATTAATACTGTGACAGGTTATACAAATTCACCTTGACCAAAAATAACTTGACATTTATGTATTCACATATATTATGATTTTGACTATATAGAGTATATTCTGCATTGTTTCTTTTGTACTATTTAAACTTGTGTTATTTATTTACTCTGAATAAGGGACTTACATTATTTCACGAGACGTCAGAATTACACTTTTTTGCTCATCGAGCTGCCAAAAAACACATATCATAAAAATTCGTATTTATCTCAAAAAAAGTGAGTATTATTTTTATCAATAAATCAGGAAACTTACCCGAACTGTATTATCTAAAGAGCCAGAATATAAAAAATTACCGCTGTACACTAAACACGTTATACCAGCTGAGTGACCTCTATGAACAGAACAAAGGTAAGAATACATATATTTTTAAACATTTCCAAAATTCTCTGAATGTCAACTTATAATAATGATGTGTGGGCGAGAATGATAATGATTGTTTGTCTGCTTAGTCAGACATGTAGATAGTCTTGTGGTGCGTGCTACTTATATTGACATAATGCGAGTCAGGAATGTAATGTCTGGCAGCAAAAGATTGGGAAGATCAAGAAAGGAAGAATGGGAAAAGAAAGAAATTAGTATAGAAATGCAGGAACAATGAAGTCCGAGACAATTATTGAACATTTTGCAAATTAGGTATTATAGTATGGTTCTCTATTTTACCAAGTAACTCTGTAATGTGCTAAATATAATTCGGTTGTCCTCACCTGTACTCTCCTTCATTACATTTTGTTCTTGCATTTTCATACAAGTTGCATCCTGCATCCATTCTTTACTGTTCGATCCTCTTGTCTCTCTGCACCCACCACAGTCTGACAGGTGTCAGATGAGTTATATATTCCCCTATACTTATTATTATTGTGAATCACTTATTATTGATTGTTCATTGTTGTTGGATTGTGTCGGGTTTTGGTGCGGAAATATATTTACGTTGTCGTCAGGCTAATTACGTGTTCTTGATCTGAGTTGTGTTGACGTCCTTTAGAATAGACACTTGGAGGGAATCTAGCATAGATATTCCTCTAAGGTAAATTAACGTCCCATACGTGTAAACGTGCAAACCCAACCGTTATAACATTAGACGAAGTAAAACCGAGCATTAAAACAAATAGAAAACCATATATGATAACGTATTAAGCCACTGCATTGCAATATTTCTCTGACCTCCGAACCATATATATATATATATATATATATATATATATATATATATATATATACACGCTTGTTAAATAATCATTTCATCGTTTTTTATATTGTCCTAACTGTAAACTCTTTTGAATCTTTGACTGTTGGAAAATCTTTTATCCATTATAAATAACTGTTAAATAACTATAAATCTATTACCTAAGTTTTTGCCGGAAACATCCTAGTTATGTACATACTGAGACTTTTTATTTATGTAGCGGGTTGATCTTGTATTTTACGTATAAAGTTAGGCGATATTTTGAGTCTGAAAAGAACAGAGTACTACTAGGTAATTACATGGTCTTTAAGGTATTTTGTTTAGTAGTTTATTGAGTAGATGACACTGTGTGGACAGTCGACGGTTAAACTATGTAGTAACGGTGTTAGAAGACTTACAGTACAGAGTAATTAGGAAATTATAACAATATCTAAGTGTTATATCTGTTGTGATAATATAACGAGAATAGTGATATATATATATATATATTACTTACGGCTGTTACTCCCAATCGAGCATAGGCCGCTGACCACCATTCTACAACACACTCTGTCCTGGGCCTTCTTTTCTAGTTCCATCCAATTTTTGTTCGTTTTTCTCATGTCTATTTCCATTTCTCGGCGTAATGTGTTCTTTATTCTTCCTCTTTTCCTTTGGTCTTGAGGATTCCATGTGAGGACTTGTCTTGTGACGCAGTTGGGTGCTTTCCTCAATGTATGTCCTATCCACTCCCAGCGTTTCTTCCTGATTTCTTCCTCCGCTGTGATCTGGTTTGTTCTCTCCCACAGTAGGTTGTTGCTAATAGTGTCCGGCTATCGGATCCGGAGTATTTTGCGTAGACAACTGTTAGTAAACACCTGTATTTTCTGGATGATGGCTTACGTAGTTCTCCAGGTTTCTGCCCCATACAGTGGAACTGTCTTGACATTTGTATTGAAAATCCTGACCTTGGTGTTGGTTGACAGTTGCTTTGAGTTCCAGATGTTCCTCAGTTGTAAATATGCTGCTCTTCCTTTGCCGATCCGCGCCTTCACATCTGCATCAGATCCACCATGTTCATCAATGATGCTGCCCAGATATGTGAAGGTTTTTACATCTTACAAATCTTCTCCGTCAATTTTGATTGGATTGCTGCACGCTGTGTTGTATCGGAGAACCTTGCTTTCCCCTTTGCGTATATTGAGACCTACTGCTGCTGAGGCTGCTGCCACACTGGTCGTCTTCTCCTGCATTTGTTGTTGCATTTACGATAGAAGGGCAAGATCATCCACGAAGTCTAGATCGTCCAACTGCATCCTAGATGTCCATTGTATCCCGCGCTTCCCTTCAGACGTTGACGTCTTTATGATCCAGTCGATCACCAGGAGAAAGAGAAAGGGTGAAAGTAAGCAACCTTGCCTAACACCGGTCTTCACTTCGAACGACTTTGTCAACTGTCCTCCATGCACGATTTTGCAGTGTAATCCATCATATGAGCTCTGTATGATATTGACTATCTTCTGAGGCACGCCGTAGTGTCGAAGAAGTTTCCATAGTGTTGTTCTGTCCACGCTATCAAATGCCTTTTCGTAGTCAATGAAGTTGATGTAGAGTGATGAATTCCATTCAATTGATTGTTCCACAATGATCCGTAGAGTTGTGATTTGGTCTGTACACGATTTATCCTTACGGAATCCTGCCTGTTGGTCACGAAGTTGGGCGTCTACGTAGTCCCTCATTCTGTTTAACAATACCCTATTTAAGATGTTTCCTGGTGTTGAGAGAAGAGTAATCCCCTGTAGTTATCACACTTGCTGAGATCGCCTTTCTTCGGTATTTTGATCAGAAGTCCTTCTTTCCAGTTTTTTGGTACTTGTTCCTCATCCCAAATCTTATTGAAGAGAATGTGGAGTATCCTTGCAGTTGCCGCTACGTCTGCTTTTAGTGCCTCTGCTGGAATGTTGTCCGGCAATTGTTGGTGGGCCAACATTGATTGGGAGGTCCGTGGGTGCTGCTTCGATGTTGGGTGGGTTCAGTGGAGCTGGTCGATTCAAGAGTTCTTTGAAGTGTTCTACCCACCTGTTTTGTTGCTCTTCAATGTTGGTGATTACCTCGCCTTCCTTGCTTTTCACTGGTCGTTCTGGTTTGCGGCGATTTCCAGAGAGTTTCTTTGTCGTGTCATACAATTGTCTCATGTTTCCTTCTCTTGCAGCCTTTTCCGCCGTCGTTGCTAAATCTTCCACATATTTACGTTTGTCGGTTCTGATGCTCCTCTTCACTTGTTTGTTTACTTCTGTGTATTCAGCTTGTGCCTTGGCTTTTTCTGCTCTTGTTCGACTGGTATTGATTGCTGCCTTCTTGTTCCTTCTTTCTTGAATCTTATCCAGTGTATCAACAGTGATCCATTCCTTGTGATGGTGCTTCTTGTGACCCAGGACCTCATGACATGTTGAAGTGATTGCCTCTTTGATCCCCTTCCAGTTGCTCTCCACAGTAGTTCCTTCTCCATTGAGTAGATCATGAAAGGCCTGGAACTTGTTGCTGAGGACTATCTTGAATTTGTTGAGTTTGTTAGTATCCTGAAGAAAGGCCGTATTGAACTTTTGTGATATTGTGTGCCCCGTTGTCCAGTGCTTCTTGAGTTTCAATTTCATCTTGGCGACCAGCAAGTGATGATCTGATGCTATATCAGCTCCTCTCTTGGTTCTCACGTCCTCTATAGTCCTCCTGAACGTTTTGTTGATGCAAATATGGTCGATTTGGTTTTGTGTGTGTGATCCGGTGAAGTCCATGTGGTTTTGTGTATGCGTTTATGTGGGAATATGGTGCCGCCTATGACCAGTTTATTGAAGGCACATAGGTTTGCAAATCTCTCACCATTTTCGTTCCTTTCTCCCAGTCCGTGTCGTCCCATGATGTCTTCATATCCAGTGTTGTCCGTTCCAACCTTGGCGTTGAAATCTCCCATCAGAATGGTCAGGTCCTTTGTTGGGCACTTCTCGACGATTGACTGCAGCCTATTGTAGAATTGATCTTTAGCGTCTTCATTGTAGTCGTTGGTAGGCGCATAGCATTGGATGATGTTCATTGAAATGCCCTCTTTCTTTGTTTTGAACGAGGCTTTGATGATCCTTGGTCCATGAGATTCCCATCCTATAAGTGCATTTTGCGCTTGTTTGGACAGCATCAATGCAACTCCTTGTGTATGTGGTGCATTTTCTTCATCATGGCCGGAGTATAACAGGAGCTCTCCTGTAGTTAGTCGTTGTTGTCCAACTTGTGTCCAATGTGTTTCACTGATCCCAAGTACCTCTAGGTTGTATCTTCTCATTTCTGCAGCAATTTGGAAGGCTCTCCCGGTGTCCCACATTGTACGAACATTCCATGTACCTAAATAAATGGTCGCTCTGGTTGTCAGAAGGGGCATCGGCCTCGTAACTTCCGAAGGAATTCGGCTTTCATCATGAGGCGTCATAATTCTTCTAAATGAAGACCTTCTGACTCCCAGGGCAGAGTTTAAAAGGTTTGAATAATTTTTTCTGGTTAGCGTTTTTTTAGCGAGTTAGTTTTCTACGGGATGGGGACGCTAACCCCATGCCCAAAACTCCTCGTTTATCTGGGCTTGGGACCGGCAGTAGCCTCCGGAGGGACTTCAGGCGGAGTTATATATATATAATACACTCACCGGAAAATTCTTTTCATTTGACCACTGATTATACTCCATAACCGTATTGTACAATCATATGAACCGCTGATAACTTTTTCATGATCAGCCTAAATAATAAAACAAAATTAAATCAAACTTTTAAAATATTTAAACGAATAATATATGAATTTTAATCAGTACTGCCGGGATATTTAACTTTCATTCAATCTATCACTACTGTTAGACCAATGAACTGCGAACTGCAGGAGTTAGGAGTTTATGTGACAACAAAGATTATGAATACATATAAACTCTTGTAATAATCTAACTACTGACCTAGTCACGCGGTGGCATGAGAAAATAAACAAATATTATAGTGTGCTACTTATGTCGACATAAGTAGTATATAACATCGATGGAAAGTGGGATGCTTGGCAGCAGAAGGTTGAAAAGAACGAAACAAAGAGAATGGGTACAGAGAGTAATTGTTATGGCAATGAAGGGATCATGAAGTTTGAGACAAGTGATGGAGGATTTGCAAATGAAGTATTGAACGTATGGTTTACACATTTGGCGAAAGAACTCTGTATTTTATGTTAAAATATAATTGGTTGTTCCCAACTGCGTTCTCGTTCATTACAATATAAGTGATGAATAATTCATAAGTGGTGTAAATCTATTGACAAACGAGTTCGAAATGAAACGTTAACACCTAATCTACAAAAAAGAACTCTGATTTTAGCGATGCAGTCTATAAGTCTGTGGAATACAGACGTGATTACCATATGTATATCTGAGATTTGAATAGCTGGTCAAACTCGATGATGCAGCTTATTTATGCTGGAATATTAAGATTCAGCAAACATTTAATAACGACTTCATACAATTTTAAATGCAAAAAAAGTTCTCAAGTTCATTGATTGAAAATTCATGATGTCATGCATAATTATTTCAACCTATATTGGATCCCAATTAACACACGTTTAGCTAACGTGTGATATTAAAATGGTGCACAATATTATCTCTGAAAAGATTATAAAATATAGACTCAGGAAGTATACTTCGCGATTAGATTTTAGAATTTCAGAATACATGAAGATAATGTTGATCACACACACACACACACACACACACACACTTAAAGCCCGTTCATATCAAAACTTCACAATGTTCACTTCTTTTAACAAAAATAATGCAGTTTGAAATCAGTTATTCTTAAGGGAATATTATAACCATTTTATACAACGTATCAGCTCACTGTAAATTGTAATCTAAAACTTTAATGATTATAATGTGTGAAATTATATTTGTGATTATTACTTTATTCAAGGGTGATTATGAATTAATTCAGAAGATAAATGAAAACAAAACGCTTTCATTTACACTGAAGTATACTATATCTATAGTATTCAATCAAAAAAATATTTCATCAGTTGAGCTTCACTGTTAAAACACTATGAGCGTTGAAACTCTGTGTAGAATTTGAAACTGTATATATCATTGTCAGTCCCAAATATTATTAATAGCCTATTTAGGTTACTACTATTTATCTTCCATATAACTGAATCATAATAATTAACGATTATGTTTAGATCACAGTTATGTCGTCATTGCTAATCGGATTATGTCGGTCAATTTGCAATTTAGTCACTTACAATAATGGTGAATAATTATGTATGAGGTAAGGTCTGTGCAATATAGTGATTATCACTTTGCATAAATGAAATCTAAACTAATTATTAGAATATAGGATATATATAAACTAGATTTTAACAATATGAATGAATTTTAAAATTTATTTATTTATGTTAACACATAGATATTACTACAAGGAGGCACCAAATACATATGCGCCACATAAATCTCATTTGATATGTATGAGGGCTGTGTTACTGCCCGAGTGCCCAAACTGAAGCAGGTGGTTTTCTTAGGGGGCCACACACGGAGCCTTCGACCTAAAGGTCTGATCCACAAGGTAGTGGAGCATCGTGAGGAGATGCAGTCCCATGGTAGCCGGTGACCAACGATTGGTTCATACGCCATTTGTTCCCTTGGGGTACTGGAGCCCATGTGCACCATTGGTTTGGAATCCGGTTAGAGCGCCGGGCATTCGCTTTTCGTCCTCTGAATTTCTCAAACAACACCCACGCCACGACAAGGCAGTGAGTAGGACTTCTCTGGCAAAGGCTATGTATGCGTGGCCATGCAAGAGCATTTTGAGAGGGAGAGCGGACTCTCCCCACTCTCGGCCGTACCAAGGCATTCGGAGGCATGTTAAAATTTACACACTCTAAAACAATAGTTTTAAAGTTGAATTTCACTGTTGGAATGAATTGTTGATTATTTTCAGAAAACATATTCTATAGTGTAGAAAAAAAGAAAGATAACTATTATGTATTTTAAATTTTATACTTTATTGTTATTTACAAGTAGTAATAAGAAGAACTAATAAACAGGCAAATGTTTTGCGATTTGAAAGAAATATTGTGAAACTGTTGCAATAGGGTTTTAACGAATGATTCACATTAATTATGCCAAATTTATACTAAGAACTGGTGATAAATAATAGAAGTAAACAGTATATTCTTTCCTCTTATGAACTCGTCAAAACTCTGTATGCCTACATACTCCTGTCTCGTTGTGCGTATGAAGACTTAAATCCAATATAACAATGTTGATATTTGTGCTAGATGTCATTTGTTTCAACCGCCAAGAACCGAAAATGATTCTGGCGAACGGGTGAGATGTTCGAGATGCAGTACATTTTGTTATCTTACCTGTTCTGCCAGAACAGCCGATAGTGACCTTTTGTGTATGGAGTGTTACGATTATGATATATAGTCATAGGTTTTGTATGTGGATACCAAAGTTAATAATACTTTTAATAGTAAGTATCAACGAGAATTCATTGAGAACGCAACATGGCCCTATTTGGGACTTATTTTTGTCAAAAAAAATCTCAAGACAACAGTTACCAATTTAGATTCAATTAACACTGAGGCAAACTTAACATAGAGACAGTAATTACGTATTCAATTTTTCTTTTGTTACTACACTGATTTCTACACTGATCTGTGTATCGTATATTTTTTACCATGAGCCTCATTCGTCATTGATTCATCGATATATCCACTTACCAATTAACTTTTACACTTCCTCCATAAGTTAATATTTTTTTACTACCATTTAGATTATTACACAAATTCAGTCGAATTCGTGAAACTTTTGATTACTTAATATAATGATTTAATATACCTAATATATTTGTTACTTAGGAACGCTGATTAGTTTCAATTATTTTACTAAATGATGTAGTACCTTTTGATAATCTTGATTAGACTACAAAAATATGCAACATCTATACATTTCTCACGGATTTAGAAAGGATGTTTGATAATCCATAATACGTTTGTCCAATGACGCAACAGCCTTCTAGTTTATTATAGACTATGAATGGTTAGATTACATGTCAATACAATTGAACAGCCTAACAAAATGACGTTGCCGAGAAGAACATTTTTCGGGACGCGCATTTCATCCTATTTGGGACTCGTCAACCGGACAATACAAAAAGTATTTAAACTTTACCACATTGCACAAGCTAATGGCTATCTGAACTTAGTAGCTAGGTGGATGATCAGATGGTGTTCGAAGCGAACGGTAGTGGGTTTGAGTCCCGAAGTGACACACCAAATCTGGGATGCAGGTACATCTAATTGATGAGTCCTAAATCGAACGAAATGCGTGTCTTGGTTTACACTGCTAGCCATCATTCATCTTTGATTATAATGCTCATGAACTAAGACAATCCGGACAAGATGAACATATACCAATAAGAGACTGTTTAATTGCAGTCCTAAACATTCATTTGAAGATTCAAACAATACAAAAAATGAATTTACATATTTTACATGTCAAATTTTGTTGACATCTCAGATTAACTGACTTTCAGTGTTACTTCACACAGAATTAACTGTTGAACATGTTTGGATAAGCGTTCAGTGTTGATTTGCTTCAAACCTTATTCATTATTGACAAATACCATGTTCATTGATTGAGTGTTAGATAACTAATATTCTGTCTTTTAGTGGATAGAATTTGAATACCATTAATCGTCTTCGTTCACTTAAAAAATTTATCTTGCCAAATAGTCGAAATGACTGAGACAGCTTTTTATGAAACTACAAACCACCGAATGACAACTAGTCATTCTCAGTGGAAATCAACCAATTACATTGTAATAAAGAACGGTGGTTATTAGTTAAGTATCATTAGTCAGCCCCACATTAAAAAGGCGAGATCGAACCAATCACACTAGTAATTTTTCGAAATATGAAAAAAGGGTAGAAACTCATTGATTTTATTCTCCAACACTTGTCAGCCCTAAAGCAGTAATAGAAGGGTTGCCAACTATTGCATGGTGATTGTGATTTCCCATCAACCATTGTTGAGAAATTTTAGAGTATGATTAAAAAATTTAGAGAAAAACATTTTGTCGCTTGTAATAATTTGTTAATTGGCTGTAAACTGTGTATATTTGAAATCTGGTTAGTTCAAATACAAGTAGCATAAAGTGCTTTAATTGGATGTGAGAATTTTCATTTTTACATTCAAATTTTATTTTGAATATATGATTCTGTCTGACTACTCTGATATACTCTTGTCTGTGAATGTATATTGTAATAAACTTTATTCGATCAAGTAGAGACTGAACTGAAGTCGTTAGTTATAGTGAGGAGAATGTATATCATTAAGAGAAAACTAGGGAAAAAGTTATAACTGCTTTTAACAGTTGATAATAGGGATTTATGAACTAGAAAGATAATTAAATGTTTAATGCACAATTAGTAAACTAATTTTCATCTAAATGTTTCATAAGTTATTTTAACACATAGTTTGGTCTTGTAATACTCGTTATATGAACGTAAGCAGATGAATAAATCATCGTGATCAGATAATGAATAGTTCATGTATTAATAACATTGAACGTCAAGGATCGGTACGTAAATAAACTTTTAGGCTTTCTTAAAATAATAATTTCCGAGAAAGAAATAAATAGTACTTATGATTGGGTGATTTTGTCAAATGATTTATAATAGAAAACAGTTGTTGAATTTCGTTGTGAAAACGGTTTCGTTAATAAACGAAAGATTGTAATTGCGATATTTTGCTGACTACGGAAATATAAATTTTTGGGAGATGGAAATCGAATGTACGTTTTGTAGTATTCCACCGAAGTAATGCAAGGTATACTAACAATGATTTAGTAAAACGTTTAGAAGAACGAAATTCACATTTTATACACAACGAACTGCCTTCTCGTGGAGGGTGTGTTGTTAACGAAATTGAGAGGACGAAAAGCGAATGCCCAGCGCTTTAACCGGGTTAGTGGAAATAGAGAGTCCATCTAGGGGAGTTGGAAAACCCTGATTCCAAAGCAATGGTGTACATGGGCTCCAGTATGTTGTGGGAACAAATGGCGCATGAACCAATCGTTGGTCACCGGCTACCATGGGACTGCATCTCCTCACGATGCTCCACAACCTTGTGGATCAGACTTTCAGGTCGAAGGCTCCGTGTGTGGCCCCCTAAGAAAACCACCTGCTTCAGTTTGGGCACCCGGGCAGTATCACAGCCCTCATACATATCAAATGAGATTTATGTGGCGCATATGTATTTGGTGCCTCCTGGTAGCAATATCTATGTGTTAAAATGAATAAAATAAATAATAACTAGCCCCTTTAAAAGCACAGATAACGATTTGCTGGTATTATCAGTGATACTCTTATTTTAATTCAAGATTCCATAGAGGATGTAAGCTAAGACGAAAGAGATTTCTTTTCAACTAGTAAAAATCGTTTGATTGGCAACATAAACGCTCTACTTTGTGTATTAGATTCCTTTTTGTACTAATATGAACGTATAAATGGTTAATTTCAAGATTCATTAAATTGTAAAAGCGTTGACCAGCTATTCAATATGTTCATATACAAGGGGTATATGAGATATTTTATAAGAACTTCATAAAATATGACTCAAATAAACTGAACAATGGATTTTAATGGAATACTGAATCAATACAAATGTCAGTTAACAAATAAAAATGGATTATTCACTGAGACATAGGTTTATGTCTATCCCAATACTCTATACGTTATGTTTTTCTTTATATCTATAAGGTCAGACACGTTGTACGAGTAAACATCTAGTAAAAAGAGCTAACAATGCGAACTTGTGTGTTTACCTAATTTAGTCACATTAGTGAAACGTTAAGCGTATTTTCTAGTGAATATGTCACTCCATTTTTGAGGTTACGAGTACTGTTGATTCCAAAAAGTGAAATATTATAAACTGTGATGATCACACCAACATACAAAAATACAGTTTTCATTACAATATATAAACTGTTCAATAAGTCTAATGAATAATACTTGACATGTTTATTCATCAATAAATAATATGATATAGTTTCTTAAAATGTTGAATAAATTATATTCACATACCTGTACACATCTTACAGTGTCAGTATGACCTTGCAATGTACATGTGCATGCAATACGTGACCAATTAGATGTTGCAGAAAGACGCCATAATTTTAAAGTAGTATCTGCACTACCAGATATTAATAGTACTTCGGGTGGTTCCCAACAATTAGGATATGTAACAGTTGTATCTAATTTACATAAAGAACATGGTATTGATGCAATTGACTCGTGAATACAATGTACAGGAGGAGAGGAACAATAACCATCGATATTGTTATTATTATTATTATTTGATTGGTAATGAGGTAAGGATAGTAGCTGTACACAACGAACAGCATCTGAATGTCCACGAAGTGTTTGAACAGACCATTTCGCATTTGTACGAATATTCCATACGCGTATTGTTGCGTCAGCTGATCCACTAACAATACGATAAGCATCGCAATCAATACAATAAACAGCTAAAGAGAAAATTTAGGAAAATAAATCAGATTAAATCAATATCATATGATAGACAACAATAGGACAAAAGCTGAATGTAGAACTAATCATACACATTCTCAAGTGTATAACTGAAGGATTTAGAAACATATATGCTACACATAAAATAACGATGATAACAGACTGTTGGGAACGTTAGATCCCCAGAACCCACTTGGGGAAGGACCTAATTTTGCAATTTATTTAGAAAACTTGAATTTCTTTGTTTTCGCGCCAAAGGAGCTCTTGTCACCTTCATGTCGTATTTCCCACTGGGAAATATCTTAAATGCTATAGGTCCGTTGTGTCTTTTAGTATGCTATTTGGTAACTCTACTCAAGGACAGTTATGCACTGTATATATACGTTTTGAATTGTGTTTGTTGTTATCGCTCGTTTCTGGCTGTTTTGTAGAATATACTTCCCACTCCAAGCTTGGACTTCTCCCTCTGGTTAGCGGGGTTGGGACGCATCAATAGCTAGCTTACTGGTCTTTGGTCACCGAGCCTTGTTCTCGTTAGCCGATTAAGTGAACTCGTGATAGCTTCAACCTAGCATGCCTATCGAGTCTCTGAATCCTTGATTCTTCGTTCCGTTCCGAGTAAGGCGAATCAGTAGTAGTATTCAAATTAACGAACATAACACAGATAAGAAGAATATTTTGATTATAATATTTTCTTACTAACTAATTCAGTTACCATCTGAAAATAGAGTAATTTATGCAGAAAGAGTAAACTAAAAGATTGATAAAAATATAGTTCCAACGTTTAACATAATGGATAAGATTAAAGAAAATGCTAAATACTTGTTAAAATTGGGTGATCGAACTAATAAAAAAAACCATTCAATTTATCTCGATACAGTAACTTGTAATTTATTCATAGTGATATCCTCCAAGTCGTGACTACTTACCCAGAAAGGTCATTACATTGATAATGTAGTAATTCAGATTTTCATAAAGAGTCGAGTACCGAAATGGCTATAATAAGTGATGATAATAATAATAATAAATAAATAGCTAATCCAGTTTGACAATGAACACTAGCCAATATAATCTAATATACAACAGATTATTAACTAATAATAACCAAATCTGTTTGACTCCGATTTGAAAAGATATTATTACAGGCAGAGAAAGCAGTCGATGATTAAAAAAATAAATAGGGAGTTTATACCAACTAGTGAACATTACTAAAATAATAATAATAATAATAATAATAATAATAATAAATACCAAATTTTGATTATTTATTTGATAGTTAAGTGAATTAGCAATCTCAAAGTCACTGGCGATCATGATTTTTGAGCGACTAAAGTTATCAACTTTACATTTCTTTAAAAAAATGCTTTATTGATAGCAATCGAATTTCAATAATTACATTCCACACACAAACTCGCCTGGTTCGGGTAGTAAACATGAACCAAACATAAAATATGTGGCTTAATACCAAATATAAAAATCTATATTTCATCATGTTATATCTAGAGCTTATATTTTTGCTACAACTTGAGCACTCGAACGCTGGAACCATCCAAGTCTCAAGTTAGAAGACAAGTAGGAAGGGACGTCATTCAAAACAGTGTCAAATACGATACAAAACACTCAGATATTTGTAGTTTTCAGTAAAAAAGAAATAATCGTTGCAGTCATCCAATCCGCATGTAGTGGCTTCTAGCATTCGTCCAACCGGGAAACTACACGTCGAGATTCCGGATTGTTCTTCCGAAAGGTGATTAGATGGAATATCTTCGGTTCTTTTAGAGCTTCCTTGAGTTCACCGAAGGTCTTCTCTACACATCACATAACCACATAAATAGGAAATGTACAGATCATAAGTATTTTGAGAAGTTAAATTACCAATCAACGATTTTTTTCATGCAGAAAATTTTCTACATTTTTAGTAAACAAGTGCTTGGACTGAAAATCACACTATATAGTAATAAAATAGTGAGAAGTATAATTGTACAAAAACAACAAATGCATACCTCCACTATGTCCATTAAATTTACGTATTCGATGTTTGCCCAAACGAAAATTACGTCTTAGACACACACGTTTCTTGAATACATTTAACCACTAATGAATGTGAAGTAAAGATAATACGCAGAACTTTTAAGTGTAAAATATATGCATTATAAAAATAAAATAATCAACAATAGTTGGCTAATGAAGAAAAAAAATTAAAATAAACTTATCCGTCAGAAACGTAGACTCTGGTTCATCAAATTTACTAATTACATTTGTGACTACAGTAACATAATTTGTCCAACGCCTTATGTGTAAATCCTCTGTATCCATCAACTTGGTTTAGAAGTCGGATATTTGACTTTGACCTGTCGTTCTCGTATAAAACTCTCAGTAGCGTAAAGACAGCGAGTACAAGTTTCCTGGCAAAGGTTACAAATACATAGCTGTATGAGAGCGTTTCGAGAGGGAGAAGGGACTCTTCCCATCATCAGCCTTACAATAGCAATTGCATTATATCTATATCTATATATATAGTGTATTTTAAGTAGTTAGTAAGAATGATTTCATGTGAATAATTTTGCAACCTAGGTATGAGTATAACTGCTGTCTCCAACAAAACACTTAGGAGAAATATATGAATTATATAATACTAAAACTAATTATTTATTTTTTCTCAAGGTTACAAAAGACAATTTATCAGCTTATTTATTAATACAAGTTATATGTAATTTACACCAAGAATAAAATATGATTAAACGAGAATTCTATTGGGGATGTTACACCCCCAGAACTCATTTGGTAATTTTATAATTTTATTTTGGAAATTTAAATCTCCTTGTTTTCGCGCTAAAAGCGCACTTTTCACATTCATGTCGTATTTTCCACTTTAGAGAATCTCTAACGCTATTGGTCCGTTGTGTATTTTTAGTATGCTATTTTTGGTACGCTTCCCAGGGACAGTTTTATGCTGTACACAAATGTTTGATTTGTGTCTGTTATTATTTACTCGTGCTTCTGGCTTACGGAATATACTTTCCCGTTCCAAGCTTGGACTTCTTCCTCTAGTTAGCGGGGCTGGGATGCATCAAACAGCTAGCTTATAGGTATACGGTCACAAGTCTTTGTTCCGTTCGTATACTAAGTGAACTCGTAATAGCTTCAAACCTAGCAAATTCAACTAATCACTAAAAACAATCACTTGGATTAAACATTGAGAATCAATTTTAGCGACATCATCAGGTTATACAAATCAAATTTGGGTAAAAATATGAATTCGAAACGTTGACTCAGCAGTTGAGTCGAGTAATATAATAATTAAACAATTGCTAATACAATTAAATGACAGTAAATTTTAAATAACACAACTAATCAAACTAGCAGAATTTTCATGTGTTATCTATACACAAGAAAAAGAAAGCAAAAAAGAAAACTGATAAGTGTCAAATCATTAAGTTCTGTAGTAAAACAGTTTCTTTGAAACGTGTATTTTAGATTTGCGTTTTACCATCTGTTACATTAATTCAATTATTCATATACAATGTAGAACTTGGCATACATGTGCATCAGTTCAAGTTGCTACACCATATTAACACGCAGAAATGAAATTATCATGAAAATGGAAAATGACCAAATATCAAAGTCAATGCTAATAAAGTTCCATACATGATCTGGATTTTCAATTGACTTCAGTCATAAGCTATAAATGGTGGATGCAACCAAATTTTAACACTTTTACACATTCTAATTCAATTTACCTACTTAAGTTCGATCAATTACATTTTGTGTTGATCGATAAGAGTTGCTGTGGATTGTGACCGAGTTGCGGTGATAAGAAAAGAAATGGATATTAATGAATAACAACATATATAAGCGAACAATATTGTTTTCGATTAGATCCTCATCAGGCTTTACTCTAATATACAGTAGTATTTATATGCATATACGAAATTATTAAACTGATCAAGGTAGTTTATAAGTCAATGATAACAATGAAAACGACTACATAATAAGTGAAACGTGAAAAGTACAAATTGATGGTGTGACAACAGGTGCATTAGTTTTGATAAGCAATAATAATAAAGGTTCAAACCAATGTTACGTAATCGGAAATAGGTCAATGATTAGAAAAATATAGAAACTGAGATAACAATTATAAAATGACGTAATAAGAAATGTTCAGATAATTGGACCATGAAACGTATAGTTGAGAGAAGATAAAGTGGTGGGAGGGGGTGAAGAAAAATAATAAACGAAGAGAAAGTTAGAAAAAGAATAAATAAATTCATTTATTACTTAAGGCCAAGGGCGAGATAAGGGTGTTACAAATTTCTTCTGAACAGAAAGACTGCTTGTTGGCTCGGATTCCTATATTTTCTCCTGTGTAAGAGACGAGATTGAACACCATAAGGAAAACTAGTGGGAATAGGACAAATAACTTTGAACGACTTGTTTCTGTCCACTATATGACCGCTATCGATCAAGTGTGATAGAACCGAGCTGCGTATTGTTTTGACGTAACCTTTTCCTAACCACGAAGGGAGGTGTTCACTAACTCGTTGGTTCAGTTGCCTGGTAGTGCGCCCAATATAGCTTTCTCAACAGGAGCAGCTGAATTCGTAGATACACATAGAAGTGGCATAACCAGGTAACTTATCCTTCAATTGCGGGATCACCATCGATCGGGTCGAATACGATAGGCAGAGGTTGGCAGCATTAAACGTTCTCTTTACTGCTCTACTCAGTCTATCACGTAGTACATCACCAGCTATATCTCTATTGGGTTGTAGATTCAGGGAGAGGTTTCTTACTAGCCGTTGATGTCACTATTTTCTTGTTTGTTACATGCAAATGTTCCTTCAAGAAACCCTGTGGATAACCCATCTAAATCACATACTGTGTATTGGCTCTAATTCATTGTTAATTTTATCGACTGAACATATCGTAATGGCTCTATTTGCAAGGTATTTGACTAAGTTTCTCTTATAATGAAGGGGTACAAAGCTTAAGAAATGTGTGTATTAAGTTGATAAAGAACTTTTTCTATACACACTTCTACTGATAGAACCGTTTTCTTTTCTGTTTAACAAAACGTCAAGGAAATGTAGTTTATTATCTAGTTCCTCTTCACGTGTAAATTTACTTGCTGAAGGTTTGTTGTTAAATAGTTGTAATAGTTCTTGTTTTCCAATGTTCTGATCGACAATATTGAAAGTATCATCAATGTAACGATAGTAGAAGTCCGGTTTATCAATAAAATCCATGAGAGGTCCATTCTCTAGTTTCGCAAGAAAAAAATCCTCATGGATAGGACCTAGAAGTGAGCCCATGGCTACTAGTACACCTGTCGTCACACTACCAATATATACTTTTCACTTATTTATGTAATCTATTCCACTGTTATCATTGACTCATAAACTACCTTGATCAGTTTAATAATTTCGTATATGCATATAAATATTACTGTATATTAGAGTAAAGCCTGATGAGGATCTAATCGAAAACAATATTGTTCGCTTATATATGCTGTTCTAAATTTACACTATGGGAATATTTCAAATTAATGAATAAAACAATTCCACAATTATAACTTGTCACATTTCTGTTCAGTAAACAGGTATGTAAATATTGTAAGGAAGGGAATACAGGAAATGATATTTTATATCGAGAACAATATACTAGGATGTAATGATAATAAAAAAAACATTTAATCAACGTTCACGAAATGTAACGCTTCGAATATCAGTCAGTGTTTTATTTTTCTATCAGTTACGACACCTACATGTGGCTTCAGCACATATAGATGCTGTTTATTAATTTGCGTAGAGAATTCACATTTTCATATGGTTGACATATGAAAAACGATAACCTAGAAATAAACACTTGAGATTCTTACATTAATATTTAAATGATTGCTTATAAAATTATTTGAATTTTCCTCTTGTACACGATAATTATATTCATTGGATTTTGTTATACAATTGAATAATTGTGGTTTTCTTAGAATAGGTGAGGACCATTTTGGTAGCATACAAAAGTGTCGATATAAATCAGGATGTCGAGCGTATTTTAGCCAACTTTTATTGACTTCTGAACATACTGTCAAAGATTCTTAAGACAATATAACAAAGGAAAATAGAAAACTATATAATTTATGAAAATTTGATTAATGATAAACAACAAGAATGTAAAAGACAAATAAGGACGAACAATTACAACAAAGGCAATAAAAAAAACTAATTTAAAGCTGAGGGAATAACTGAAAAGCTTACTTGTGCATGAAATGGGCGCTGATGATGTTGTCAAGAACGAAAACAATAGCTTCATAATTAAGCTAACTAGTTCAGAGAACACATCACTCACTAGAGGCATTATTAATATTATATTAATCCACGTTTTGATAACTATTAGCAATACATTAGGATCAACAAAATGGACCTTTGGTTAGTTACAACAAGACTGCCATGAGATGCCCAAATTTGATTAATATACACATACATCGGAATCAGAAATATCAGGATTTGAGGCAATATTATTTGTTTTTTAGACCGTCATTTTCGTAACTTTAACGATTTCAGATACATAGTTTAAATAACAACGTACAAGTAATTTGTAACTTTAGTTAATAACAAAAACTTGTATTACGGAGATTTTGAAGATGAATATAATCTATTTTTCAGCAGGTAGTGTTTAGAATTGGAAAGATCGAAACTACGTATTTTCATCAGTTCGGGAATCCTGTACATCTGATCGTGTCGTATTTTTGTTGCTGGATATATATAAGAAATAGAATTAAGGAAATCTGACTGGGATACAATTTTCGTTTTCACTGTAACTAGAAGCCATAATATTAAGTTATTTGGTAGAAAACAACATTGTATTCGCAAGCTTACAAATAGTAATTGTCCCCATAAATTAAAGGAAGCGGGTTATGTGTCAATAACAATATTAAGAATGATCAATGGATGTCGACTCTTGATAATTTTAATATTTATTTACTACGAACAGGATACTAGACCCGTTACTTTCAAGGTGGATACTCTACTGTCCAATTGCAAGGAGATAAAAACAGACATCAATATTTTTAAAAACAAAGTTTATCGAAAAAAGCATACAGAATAATGTAAACAAAAAAACTTATAAAAAAATCTTGGTTTTGTGATCCATATTGAATTTGACTCTATGAAGTGGCTGCTAGATAAAAGTTAAATAGAAGTTTATTTTTAGCTACAGAAATAACCCACGATCTAGTTGCCAAGTTATGATTTTAACGTTACAAAATTGAGAGACACTAGCACTATCATAAGCGTTCGTACTAAAGTGATTTTAGAAGCATTATTTTTTAAACAAGTCATTACTCCACACACACTCACTTTTGACGATTTATTATAGAGTTCATATTTAAGGAAAATTATGTGATACTACAATTATCAGTGAGTCAAACGCAACGTAGAAACTGATACATGTGTGCGTCGGTTCAAGTTACCATAACCTATTAGACAAACTTAAATTTTAAAAAAAGAACTAAACAACTGGTTTTAACCAAACGGCATTCAGTCGATGATTATTTATCAGACATCCAGTATGAAGCTATGAATTTTGTAAAGTTAATCAATTCTTGAGTATGATAGTAAACTTATAGATGAAGTTAAGTAGCGTTGGTGTACATGATAATTAGCTATTAAAAAAGGAAACAGTTGTAAATCTCTCACTACCCTAATAACTTCCATTTCTTATCATTTAATTAAGTGATATTTTACTTCACATTCTTAATGAAAAATTCCTTTCTCATTCTTAGGTTTTTTTGAGCTTCACTTGCTCTACTCTGTCATTCTATCAAAATTACTGGTTGTTATTACATAACTTTATCATCAATATTCATTCTCTAGAAACGTGTCTCCATATGTTTTAAAATTTTTTATTCCGGAATGTCCATATACGTGATCCAATAAATATTCAGCCACTTTATCATCTCCATGGTCCTTATCATTATTCTACAAATCTTCAGTAATATGATACAAAATATGTACATTGGTTATACATGATTATAACCATCGTCTCTAGGTTGTAAGCAGTTGACGAGAATCTACGTATATTCTTACTTTACTCTAATTTATTGGTCGGGAAATTTGTGTGAAATTAGCTGTTTAATGCTTTTTTAAGACTGTATCTAAACTTCTTGCTAAATGATGCAATCGCACATACAATTAAATAAACAAATAAGTCAACTTGAATAAAATAATTAATTGTTACTCATGATAAATCTTTATTTACGTATAAATGTAATTGAAAGTACCTATAAAAAATGTCGTTAAATTTCTAAGGAAATAATCAACAGTAAGACAGTTTCATAGGTTGAAATCATCAGTCGATTGAAGCTAGACCACCATGGAAAACCTGGAAGCATTGGACTGCCGTTTCGTCCCAGTATGGAACTCCTCAGCAGTGCGCATCCAAGATCTCGCACCATGCGGGGTTCGAACCCAGGACCTACTGGCTTCGTGCGCGAGCACTTAACCACTAGACCACTGAGCCGGCATCCAACGGTGTTGATGTCTAACTTCAACTCACTGAAGAAAATAGTGTACGGTGGCGCAACTTCGTGGATCGGTTGAAGTTAGACATTAACACCGTTGGATGCCGGCTCAGTGGTCTAGTGGTTAAGTGCTCGCGCGCGAAGCCAGTAGGTCCTGGGTTCGAACCCCGCATGGTGCGGGATCGTGGATGCGCACTGCTGAGGTGTCCCATACTAGGACGAAACGGCAGTCCAGTGCTTCCAGGTTTTCCATGGTCGTGTAGCTTCAATCGACTCATGAGTTCAACCTATGAAATTTCCAAAAAACTCCACAAAACCCATTCTGATAGTAAGATAGTTAATAATCATTAATAAACAGTATTTGAAATCTACAGAATTTAATAAGATTTCAGAAAATTTGGAAAATGAAAGCGATTAATAATAACATTGAAATCGTGAGACGATTTAAGTTAAACCATCATTGAAAGACTTGAAGAACTAGATTGACGTTTTGTCCTCGTATAGAACTCCTTGATAGTCCGGATCCATGACCCTAAAGGGAGGAATCGAGCCCAAGATCTTCAGTCTCGCACGTGAACGCCTAATTTTTAAACCACTGAGCCAACATCCAACACTCATATTATCTAACTTTAATTAATCAACAACATAGAACCACCGTAATCTATTGTCTTCGGTGGGTAACTGTTTCACGCCTGACACGGTTTAGCTCCACTGGTCACGGGCGTCCAGTAATTCTAGGTTTTCAATGGTGATCTAATTTGTATTGGATCATGATTTCAATGAAATTCTACAATCCTCAAAACCCATACTGACGATCAAAGAAACTTCTACTTGTGGAAGAAAGCTATAAAAAATTCGTTAACTGACACGAGACAATCAAACTGATACTACCTGTCACTTTGATTAGACCAATGATAATCCATACTACTTAGACAGAAAAGAAATAAAACTATGTTTATTAAAATTAAGTAACTTGATAGCTGAACTTGGAGGTTTTTAATGTTGGAAGACAATCTAGATTAAAGGACCTCGAGAAAAATATAAAGCAATGGACAACAGCTCTAACTATATCCAACAATAATAACTAATGGAATGTTTGCAGCTGTTTTCATCTATGAACTTGAAATCTTCATCTCTTGAAAAGTATACAACCGAATCACATTGTTAAAACAATTATTTCATTTACATCATCAATCGATGACAGAACACGACAATTAATGAGTAATTGGTTACACAATTTGGACCACCACACAAAAGAACTATATTTAAACAAAAAATAACAAACCGATAAAATTAATAAATTCTGTTATTAAAACAAAGTTCGGACAATTCTTACTCCATGATAGATAAGAGAAAATTCGTAAAGTTAATTCCGCTGGTAACCAAGTAACAAAGTCACAACAATCGGGCATACGTTGACACGATGAATGGAGATGCGTTGCTAAGCGTAAGCTTTCAAAATGTCCAATCGAAGTTAAACCCTTAGAAAGATTTAGAAAAAATAACAATACGTAATTCGAACGAAATCTTTAGGAAATAATTTTTAGCATACATTGTAAAAAGTATGTTCACTATTTCGTAGTTACTTTATTTGTAATCAATTGACGATTACGTAATGAAAACCTAATCGACGGGGATCGTTACATACTCATTTTAATATTACCTTAGTGAAATTTTAAATTTAGATCTTCTCCAGTGAACATCTAGTATACAATTCATTTGTTCCACGACCACAGATTCTGTTCCTAATTTAGTTTAGTACACTTTCAACGTATTAATCTTTCCCTTAATTTCAAGAATGACATGAAAATGTTTACAAACAGTAGCTATTCGCCTAGTTCAATTTTGTATATTCTCTCCAAGAAATTTTACGAATAATATTTGTATTTTGAACTAGGTATGAGTTGAAAATGTATCTATATACAAGGAAGTAATAATTTACAGTATAAATAACTTGTATGATAGATTTTATTTTAAACTGAGCACTAAAATGTTATCCTATCCATTACATAAATAAATTCCTCTGTATGTTTGTTACCTTGTAAATTTTGTACACTAATAACAATCTATATTTCAACGTGAATTTTAATTATTAAACTTTAGAGCATTAATGTATTCTATGTAGTATCATATTACTATGCTTATTGATACAACTAGGAAAATATTGTCTAGAATGATTAAAGGTTAAAAATGTACTTATCGATAAGGCGTTTTAACTTCCTACCATGATAATTCATAAATGTTTCAATTAAATAAAATGGATGTTATACTGATATGATGATTGTTTCAGAAAGATTATAATGCACAAAAACAAACATACAGACATGATTGCATACAAATATCCAGTTACATCAAGATAAGATCAGTAAATTATAGAGTTAGTGACTAGATTTTAGAAAAATGCGACATACCTAGTGAACAGGAAATTTATAAAAGCTAATTACACACAGGTTGACAATGTTGTATAACGATAAGATTAGAACAGAAACAGTTTAAACTAGGCTAATCATTTTTAATTAAACGCCGTCACTCATTTACCAAGTATAGATTTTTTTATCTATTTAACCTCGAACTATACATTCTTGTATTTGAGGGATAACTAAAGCGAAGAAAGTAGAGTGGATTTTAACTTGACACCAGGTTAATGAAAGTTTAGTTCTTTAATTACACAGCCACTAAATTACTACTTATTAATGATACTATATTGAAGATTACGTAACATAATGACTACCAGAAGATCATAGAGTTTGTTATACGGAAACGTTGTATAGAGAAATCGAGAGAGCCTATTCGATGTAAACCCAAAACAAAATTGAACTTTCATATCCTATCGCATTAATATTAACTTCAAAAGGAAAACGTTTATTTCTATGACAGTAATATCTGCTTATTATGAAACTGTTGAACAAAACATTTTTTTAAAATTTATGATGCACAGAATATTATTATTTCGAAATATTCCTGTTATCTTGTAAGAAAAATCCAGTATTAGTCATATATGTTGCAATCCTATCAGATGGAAAAACAAGGTTAAACAAGACCAGTCACATTTTTTCGTTATGACGATCATCTATCGATTAGTATGGTCAGAAAACTAAACAACTCATTATCACAGATTAATGGAAAACGGTTAGAAGAAAACATTTAAATTGAATGTTCATCTCGAGCATGTATATTGTCAATAATTCATTGTAGATAATCTAGTTAATATTAGACAATGTTCACAGTCACATCGAGATTTTATAATTGTTTATTCGAATTCATAGAAGCCAATTTGGTTAAGTTTAGTGAGATCAACCAGTTAAACATATGTGTCTGTTTATCAAAACAAACATGTGTATGTTGATTGCTACTGATTCTCTTGCAACTGTTTATTATTTTGAAGAAATAACAAGTACATGGTTTTTAGAAGGAACAAGAATATCCTCTACATTTCAAGAGTCCCGGGGTAAACATAAACTTTGGGATGTAGGTACATCCACCTGACGAGTCCCAGATAGGATGAAACGCGCGTCTTGAACTTCACCGCTGGCTACTGTCTGTCTCTGCTTACAATCCCCAAAGAATTTTCGAATATCGCACAAGAACACATCTTTTCATGGTAAAGTAGTATTGTATACGTGTAACTTTGAGGAAACAAACAGTAGAAGATGTGATTCTCACATATACAACAGAAAACGCATGTAATGTACAATATTTGTTTCTTTAAAGTGCATTTTATTTAGGTTTATAGGTGTCTAACTCAAAAAATTCTTAAAAAACAAGTATTCACATTGATTATTGAATACCTCGAAAAAAAACCGAAGAAAGCATGATATGTTCTAAATTACTAGCATCTAGTCGGATTGTGATTATATTTATTACTTAAAATTTCAACTCATGTAAAAAGTTAACTTGGAAACATATATATAAAGTGATGAAGAACAAATTAGCATCACTTACTAGGAGATGTTCGAGTAAATTTATTTTCTGCTGACCAGTTAAATTAACGGACAGCTTTTTGATGAGCTGAAATCCAAAAAATGGTAACAAGAGAAACAGTGTGAATTTATCGAGTGTATAAGTACAAATTTATGTACTCAGCTTTGAACTATAACTTTCCGTGGTATGAGGGAGTAGTCAATCAAAGTGAAGTAGATGTAGCGGGTTACGAACTAGATACCTATTATAATTAAGATTTGATATTATGTTAATTAATATCAGCTTATTCATGACGGTCTAAAGAAAATTATAACTTGAGATAAACAATCAATACACATTTTTTAAATATACAGTTGATTAACTGATTAAGCGTCAGTAAAACTCGATAAAACAACTAATGGATTTACACTGAACAAAAAGACGAGACTACAACTGGGAATAAATTCGACAAGAAACCAAATACAATTTCAAATAGAAAGTACAAGCTTAGAAGATAAAATTTTCAAGATGCAAAGAAACAAAATGAGCTAACGAATTTATTAAATTGTCAACAACTATGAGTTCGAACACTCGGTCGATTTTCCATTACTGATTTCAGCTACATAAATCATTTTATTGAACAATCAAATCATTATTAATAACCAATTATCTGCAACCAAATAGAACAAGAAAACTGACATTACTCCTAGATCAAGAATAATGAAATAAATTGTCAGCTACTTATTATATGAAATGAAGTTATTAGATATTTACATACTGAGTAAACATAACATGGACAGGAAAAGCTAAAATGGTCGTGTAAATCAAATAACTGAAACGTAAAGTTACAATAATAACCAATGAAAGTTGGGTGAAATATGACTTCAGCAATATCATTTAACATAATTTTTGATCGTAACTTCCATACCGAGTTGAAGGGCAGTCGAAGTTTGCTACCCACTTTCCGACGAAGGCGCGGTTCGTTGTTTCAGCAGTAATGTCTTTGATGAGTACTGTTTCTGGTCATCGAGTGAAACGGTCTACACATGTTAGGATACAATAGAATCCATTTAAATCTGGTGAAGGTTCCACCAAATCCAGATGAACACGGCCATTGAAATAAAATTTGGAAATTAAAGGCAGTGGAATTAACGAATGCAGTCATGTGTCCTAGACATTTATTAAAGTAAATTCACCAATGATTATACTACAGAGTTCTTTGATTCCCGACTTAATTAATGAAATAAAACTTTAGACGAAATGAAGGCTAACTCGGTTTTCATACATGACTTGGTTTTTTGAGGGATGTCCTGTTGAGTTGATGTTTTTGCGTAGCTTTACGACGTAATTATTTTATTGTGCACATTCGTTTATTCAAGTTTTTGCATGTAGGCAAATCATATAGTTAAACATATAACAAACTGACGGCCTTGAGTTAACCAATCAAAATCAAGATAATTCTTCATGTAACTTGCATGAAATTCCAAGTTAAATGATAGATAGCTTGATTGTTGTTATTAGGTAGATGAAAATTGATAATAATTGATCCTTAAAATGCTCGGAATCAATTAAACAACCAAAGTGTGAATTTACGATGATGCTTAACATAAATGACAAAACATGCCTGGCAGATTGTGTACTTAGTATGATTTAATGCGTAGTCAAGAATGTTTAGTGACGCTAGATAATCTAACAATTATCCGAATCTTTCTCTAAATCCCAACGCTAATTTTCCTAAGGTTTTGAACGGAAGGGTGGGAAAACATTGCATTATAACTGATGCCATTTGCTGATTAAAAACAACAAACCTAATTTGTAAAGCCAACTCAAAACTCCAGCTTTATCTTTAATACACAACCTTAACCTTTTTAAATTATAACCGATATTATGTGATGATGAAAGCTATCGTGTGATAACCGTAATTCATAATGTTATCTCGACTAATAATGTGTAGACTTGACCTTTCTCTTTTAATGCAAAAACAATTTGTCATGTGGGGGGGGGGTAAATAATTCAGATTAAAGCCATTATTCCATTGTTTTCTGGTTAATCCAGCATTCCCTGATTCGCTGACAAGTCACCCAAGGTCACCAGTATGGTTGTGCCATATATATATATATATATATATATATATATATATATATATATATATATATATATATATATATATATATATATATGATGTCATCGTTAACACATCATATTTAATTCGAAAGATTTTACAGAGAAGATTAAATCAGAAGTCATCATTTTGGCGGATGAAGTGAAAGTATCTCTATTCATGCTACTACGTAGTGTGAATAATCTTGCTTCACAAATTATCGTTATTAAATCAGTGTAAACCGTTCAAACATTTGCTAATTCGGATTTTAGATAGATAAAAATGTTAACAGGGAGTTATATTCTTGTCAACTAATAAGCCTTCATGGACGAATGATTGGTGCTGTCTTTTAATTTTCTTTGACTGAGCGAAACATACAATACTAGGGGAACAATCGAATTTTGGTGTTTAAAGCAATTCCTATTATTCTACCTTGCTTACACAGAATAACACTAGTAAGAGATAAAGTGAGGTATAATGATACATCTTGGTTTTATTTTGGAACTAATAGGTATAGTGACTGTCGGTACCAAAAGAATGTTAAGGATTCCATTAAACGAGTATGTCGGCTTTCTAAACACAGTGCCGATTTTAATGATTAACTTGTGATAAAGTAATTTAAAAAAACTAGTGAATTTAGGGGGAAGCATGAAAGTAAAAAAATAGAATGAAACAACTATACGATAATTCCTGATGTCCAATGATCAGTCAGTTGATTTTAAAACCTTAAGAGAACCTTGATGAAACAATTCTTGTCAAGAAAGAAAAATGGACGTGGTATTAACAGAAGGTACAAAAAACTTGAAATTCAAATGAACAGTTGACATGTTAAGGACTTGAAACAACATTGTTATTCAGAGAAGTGAAATGAAAGCTCAAACTGTACAAACGAAAACATGAAAATAAAATGATCCTCCTACATTTTAAAGACTAGTGATGACTGATGTATAAATTGAATTTAATAACTACAGTTATGTGACTATAGCTTGAGTGAAAACTGTTAAGAGAAGCGTCAAAATTATGTTCTGCCTTTTTTAAAGACGAAACACTAGATAAAACTGGAAAACAGTGAGAGCAAAGTTGATTTTTTTCACAACATCTGAATTTCTATACAATCTGTGTATAATGTTCTGTGAATCTGAGTTACAATATGATAACGAGAGTCCAACTCAGCAAGCAGATGCATATTTGTTTATTTCGGTTTCCCAAGGCCTAAAAACGATATAATGATGGTAAGTTTTACAACTTAAATCCAATAAATGAATGCACCAGATTCCATACTGTTCTATACAAAAAATAACATTTTCTTTTTAAATACATGATAAACATACTTATTTTAAATCAAACTTTTATTTAAGAAATAAAAACTCTCACCTCTAAAACTTGATGGGGTTTTAAATTTGCTGCTAGATTGTGAGAAAGTATTGATACAAGCGTACTGAAAGAAAAGAAATATGTATAAAACGTTAATCTAGGAAATATATACCATATTGAAATAACTGTATGTATGATTTGAAAAAAATTAATTTAATTCGAGATGACTTGGGTTATCTCGCTGTTGATACTTTTCCTATTCAAATTTCATTAGTATTCGTTGCTCCCAAATGTCCTGGTATGGACGAGAGGGAAGATTTCGATCTCCCCCCCTTCTCGAAATGCACTCACATGACCACGTAGATACACCCACTGCTACGGAAGTCTTACTCACTGCCTCCTCAAGACAGGGGTGTTGTTTACGAAATTGAGTGAACGGAAAGCGAATGTCCTGTGCTTTAACCGGATTGGTGGATATGCAGGATCCACCTAGAAAAATCGGAAAACCCTGATTTCAAACCAATGGTGCACATTGGCTCCAGTGTCGTGAGGGGACAAATGACGCTTGAATTTTTTGTTGGTCACCGGCTACCATGCGACTGCATTTCTTTTCGTTGTTCCGCTGCCTTGTGGGTTAGACATATAGGTCAAAGGCTCGCGGAGTGGCCCCCTAAGAAAACTACCTGCTTCGGCTTGGGTGCCCAAAAAATATTCCAGCTTTCAAACAAATCGAATGGCAAAGTGTGATGCCACATTGTACCAATGTTTGTGTATTTAAATAAATAAATAATGGCATAGGGGCATCCTGTGTGGATTGCTTCGATTTAGCTAATACGACACGTTAGTATAGAATAGGTGTAATGTAGCTAGCAGTGCAATTCAGGACGCACGTTTCGTCCTATCTGAAACTCATCAGGTGGATGTAACTGCATCCCAGAGTTGATGTTCATTCCGCGACTCGAGTACAGTGCTGTTTGCTTCAAACTTCACTGCGTTATCCACTTAACTACTGAGTTTAGACAGCCACTTACTCGTACAACGGGTATGAGATCCAATTTAACTTGAAATAATTTGGGTCATCCCGTTGTTGATACTTTTGGCTGAAATTTGATCAACTTTAGTCGGATAATGTGGTGGTATCCGGAGCAAAAAGTACTGATTTCGAGTGCCGGAGTGAACATCAACTCTGGGATGCAGGTACATTCACCAGATGAGTCCCAAGTAGGATGAAACGAGTGTTCTAAATCCCACTGATAACCATATTCTATCCATTCTATTTAACAGATTATTGTAAGACAGTAATTCATACTCCTGAACTATCTCAAGTAGAAAGGTCCTACTTCCTAACAACACATTATTTTATCGCATGAATACGAAAAGAATTAAAAAGTCTCATAGTAGTTAAAGTTCTGGTTTTTGTTTAGTGTGGTAATTAGTTTACACACAACTTGTTTATGATACCTTTGATCTCATATGAATGGATTATAATGTAATGGTTTAACTAACGGCTTATTTTTCGATTTAATGTATGGTTGAAGTTAAACTTGCACAATCATTTCAGATGTGATGTCATGCGTTCAAATAAATGTCACTTAGGTTATATCAAACATATATGTAATGATTAAAAACAATAGCTATTCCAAAATCGGAGATCGAGAATGATTTAAAACACTGGAAGTGAAGTGTCAACGAAAAGTGATGATCATTTTCCTGAATCAATTTTCTAAAGAAAATTCTAATTAACCCGAGTAGTGACTAACGTTACGGTAACTAAAGAAACATATATAATATAAAATAATAATATATCCTTTTCTTCTTAACAGTCGCTTAAGAATACTGATCCATACCATAATCGAAATCAATATCGATGATAATTTATATTTTGTTACCGATGAATACAAATGATAAGATAGAAAGACACTAAATCTGTATTCAATGCTATACTAAACGGAAAACATTTTGTATTGTAACTGTATACTGCTAAGAGATGACCCAAGTGCCTAATATAACTGTAAACTGTTAAAGTTAAAATCATAATAAACCTATGACGTATTAGTAAAGTAATTCATCATTATGCTACCGCATTCTACAATGAATCGAGAAAGAGAACTTCTGGTTAATACCTTCAGATGACGGTGTTATCATGAACTACTGGTAACAAAGTTAGCGATTAAGTTCAGATTTAGTAACTCGACATCGGAATTTCAATGAGATCAAGATTATGAGTCTAGTCTCAAATTTGTTGTACGCGAATCATTGCAGAATCCTGGTGTAAAAAAGACTATCTTCAGTACTCACTGACGACTACAACTTCGTTAGTTCAAATGAATTCGTGTGAAATCTTTCATTTACCATCACTGAAAGAAACTATCTCTTTATCAAGTATTAATTCTAGTGATCTATTTAGAGGCACTAGAAAGAACACTCATATTGAAAAAATAGTAACCGTTTAGAGCTGAGTTCACACTCTTTTTCGTAAAGAAATAATTTTCCTTACAAATAACAAACTTCTAAGCTCCTGTATAGATAAATACCAAAATACCAAGGTGTTCCACGATATGGAAAAATATGGAAGTATTACCGAATGGTTTGACATTACTCCTGATTAATTATAGATTCTTGAACACCTACCATATAACATGAATCCCATATGGGCTTATTTATATGCATGGACTATTTTAGCATGAAGATGTATACAAGCACGTTAGGGTAATTCCTAGAAATTATTCAAATATATTGTAATGGTCATAAAACGTTTCAAAAGTTTTATTAATAAATGGTAGTTAACATGCTTTACTAACTAGGATAATGATATGTATTTCTTTAAATGCTCATTGAATATCAAAATGTTGATAGTATTTGAAAATGATCGATCTCCAAACAATTCAAAAATTAAAGACGTACATTTTAAAATGACTATTTTCTAAATAGAAGAGTACACTGGTTTTAATCGATGAAATGTGACTCAATCATACCCCTTAATAAGGATATTTAAAAATGGAGTTTGAAAGCAGAATAATATATTTTGTCTTGCTTAACTGTCAACAAACAATTATATAAAAAATGTATATTAAAAACCAACAGTAGACTTTCGACTTCGATTTTGTGCTTGTTGGAGTCTTTTAATAAAGAGTCAGAAATCCTAATCAGAAAAAAAACATTTGAAAATCCAAACTTATATTATTAAGTACTGAAGTTAAACAAGCTATGCTTTAAAAAGGAGGCCTCTAACGATCTAAAGTAATCAGTCACCACCAGCCAAGGATCTGGCACAAATTTGTATCGAAATCCTAATAAAGGCACTACACCACACAATGAAATTGAAACTTACTCAGAACTGAATGGGATTGTGGGACCATTTTCTGACTTCATTTTTACTGTAGAAAACAAATAAATCTTTTTAATCTCTGAAGCAAGACAATTTAAAACTGATACGAAGCACTTAGCGAATGCACACAAATGTATCAACAAACGAAAGAAATTTTAAAATCGTGGACCCTTAAGTAGATTTTAGCGCTTACTAAAACCATGCTACCCAACTTTTCAAATCGAAAATATAGCAGATCATAAACTCAAGTTACGAATTTTGACAGTTCAAGAATCTGGCAAAAAACAGGAATCCTGAGAAAAGTAGGTGCGATATAATTTTCATACAATATTAGTCGCGATAATCCTGAAAAAGGTAACTCGGGACTAATACACAGAGGCAACGAACTGCCAGGAAAATAAGCTGCTCCAAAAAATGTTTTGTATTTGATAGATGGCTATATGATAATAGTTGCATATATTGCGAGATAGCTGATGATTAGTTAATACTGCACAATCATACAAGATAGTCTGACGGTAAAACTCAAGGCGATGAACCCATTGGCTTGATAAACTTTTCGACAGTTCCGAAACTGTAATACGGTCAATGAGGATTAAGCGATTAGCCCTGAACTCACTATGATACCCTTTATTTCAATAAAGTTAAACTTTATAAGTACTAATCTGAAGCAGAATCTTTATAACTAGTAGTTTTGCAATATGGACCGGAGTCAAACGAGGCTGCCTATTCTCCCTCTTTCTAGTGGTTGACTAGATTATGAAGACCTCGACATCTGACAAAAAAAGCGGAATACAGTGGACAGGTTTGGTGCAACTAGACGACTTGAACTTTGCAGATGACCTAACCCTTCTATCCTAAGCACACCAACAAATGAAGGTCAAGACAAACAGTGTAGCAGAAACCTCTGTGTCAGTAGGCCTAAACATACATAAGGGAAAAAGCAAGATTCTCAAATACAGAACAGAGAACACCAAACCAATCTCACTTGATGGAAAAGCTATGACAGGTGTTGAATGTCTCACCTACCTGGGAAGCATAATCAATGAACAAGGAGGACCGGACGCAGACATAAAGGTGAGGATTGGCAAAGCAAGGGCCGCATTCCCACAATTGAAGAACATATGTAACTCAAAACAAATGACAACCAACATCAGTTAATCTTCAATATGAATGTCAAGACAGTTCTGCTGTACGGAGCTGAAACTTGGAGAACTACTATAACCATCATCAAAAGAGTACAAGTGTTCATAAACAGTTGTCTAAACAAGATCCCCAATGTTATTTGGCCAGATACCACCAGTGACAGACTACCGTGATAGGGAACAAACCAGATTCCACCTGAAGAGCGAAAGACGCTGGAAGTAAAATAGGACATATATTGAAGAAGCCATCAAACTGCATAACGACGCAAGCGCTAACTTGGAATCGCGAAGGGAAACCGAAAAGAGGAAGGCCAAAGAACATACTGTGTCAAGAATTGGAAGCATACATGAAACGTATGAAGAGCAACTGGAAAGGATTGCTCGGGACAGAGTTGGGTAGAGAATGCTGGTGAGCGGCCTGTGCTCCTCGATAAAAAGGTATATGCGTAAGGAAGTAATTTTTGCAATATATAACTGAATGGTATTCAATAACAGATGAGTTGCGAAAGAAGTAACTTATTACTTTGATACTGATCTTATTTTGCTATTAAAACGAAGAAACTTTATCACGAAACTGAGAATATTAGAACTTAAGGGTTTACACCAGACGATGATCTGTAAAGCCGAAAGCTGAAACGTAAATGTTGTAATCAATAAGTCAAAGTTTAAACACTTACATTCATAATTTTCGATAAGCTAAACACCAATGGACATGTAAAAGCCGATTCAGGCGTTCCATAAACGGAACGATTGAAAACCAACTATCTGTATATAATATACAAATATTTGGAAAACACTTCATAGCTCTTGAAAACTGTAGGAAAAGATGAATTTCATAAACTAATCCTAGACAGCAGCTTACGTATTTCATGTTCTAGCAAAAATGGGACAAAATAATACCTAGTAATTCCATAAGTAGTACACTTAGTCCCGCTTCGCATCTCTAAAACTTTGGTGAAAATCAACTGTATCACCATGTATCATATCAAACGACGACTAAAGTTTTCAAATATTAATAAACACTGATTCACGACTAACAATCAATAGGATGAAAACGGCAAAATCTACATCAACAACGAAAAGACTACAGGGTGCATCTTTTTGAAACTAGCCGAGGATGTTTAGGTCAAATTATTTTTTGCGGGTATGTTTATGAACATAAGGTTCATGGGAGACACAACAGCTAACGAGTAGTTTACTTGTGACTCAGAGTTGGGAACTGATCATAAGGTTACCAAGATCATATTTCGTATAGTTTGTCGGAAACTAAACGGTATAACCAACACAAAGATTGAAAGTACGAGAGCAGAACACATAACTCAGCGGTATTTCTCCAAACAAGTATCTCCATACACCAAGCGTTGAATGCAGGAACTGGTATAAATTTATTTGGGAAGTACTGTGTTAATCGGGGAACTGATTAAATTATGGAAGGGGATTCCTACTTTTCAATCGGTAACAATCACCAGTGTCAACTAAGTTACACTGTTTGATCATTCTGATTAGTAAATGACTTCAGGTGACTAATAATACTCAGGGCTTTACTTAAGAATCAATGCTGGATATGAGAAGCCGAAATTGCGTATATCGACCTATATGGGAATACATGTCCGTTGCATAAAGTAGCAATATGAAATGAGTTACATTCATCACCGGGATAACCACGTATAAGATGCGATTCAGTGCCTAACTAGAGCGTCAGATGGCTAGCCGTCTGATTTTCGAGATGCGTCCGCGATGACCCTACATCAGAAGTGGTTATTTAACCGTCATATTGGCCAAATTTCCACAAATTTAGCAGTCAGTTTGCCTAATTTGAAAGGTCAACTTTGCCCCCACTGTGTCTACGAATGTACTAATTAACGAGACATTACATGAAAGTCTTTCTCTTAGGGAAAAAGTAAACTTTCATTCGGAACTAACTCACTGTTCCTCACCATTTTCCCTTTTTGGGTTGCATTCATTTCTCAATCGAGAAATGACAGAAAGGTAGAAAAGCTTTCGTCAGGTGGAATACACTCACCGATACATACGATTGAAAAATTTGTCGATGCTTGATTGTGAAGTCAAGGGAATCTAATAACTGCAACTAGGAGAAAAAGTGTATTACAACCGTTCATTCTGAGCGTTTGATGGACAAACATGTAACTCAAGGTTACTTCAGTTACCAAATTGAACGACACAAAGACTTCAGCAATATGAGGGTACCTATACAAATCTTGTTCGCTAATTATTTCGTTATTAGTTTTATAGTTTCTAATTCACTCAATTTATAAAAAACATGATTTAAAACTGTAGTGCGACACTGATAACACGTTGATGACATCTAGACGTATCGCCATAATGTATTTGTTTTTAACTGTACAACAAATGTCTAGGGATGATTTAGATAGTAAACGCGTGTTTCACCCGTAATAACGTACTTCCCCATGGATTGAGCGGGATAAAATTACGCAATATTTGTATTGCAGTAGTAGTGAAAAGCCACGGCACTTGCCAATTAGAACGGGAGTCAGGTCGTTGAATATCAAACAATTTATCTCTCCCCATTAATGTCAAAGATGATCGACGCCTGTCAATTATTTGTACGCTGTGAACTGGCATATGCGAAAGTGGTCTCACTTTTTTTCTTCCGACAATTCTTACTAAGATATTCCTGTAATGACGTTCTTTATGTTGTATGCTAGTTAACGTAACAATCACACAAACATACGACGGAAGCGTAATCCAGGTTTGGTATTAACAGTGAGGTGTGACGTCTATGGAAGCTGGTTGGTCGCACCTTATCCGTTCAGTTCCAATAGGCCCTGAAAGGCTGACATCTACGTTGGTGTTGTTTCACAACTACAACAGAATAAAGAAAAACAGAAAAAACATCACTTTGTAGCGGTAAATAAATCCCCAAAATAAATAGCCCTGTAAGTTTTTGGCATTGGATTCTGACCGTATGTTTTTGTGGACTCGTCTAGCTGAAGGCGCTCGATCATGCATCCGCACCAGATCACGTGTGGTAACGCCATGCTCAACATCTACCGCAATCGCTAACCAGATTAGTTCAGAGAATTCCGATATGTTGGTTATCGCCAAATACACTACTCCGATCTCGTCGACTCTGTCTTTTGGTTTCTCTCAGTGGGTACAAATTATATTAGACGGTGTTGCTGGTAAAAGCGTTGTCAAACACTGAATACCTGTGTCATCTTCAACTTTTTAATGTGGTGGGAGCAGTGAAATGTCACTGAACCAGAGCCGAATCATCCGGCAGTTGGGTGACTGAATACCGAACACATCATCGATCATCGTCAAAGTCAAGAACAACGAACGCGCACCAGTCAGTCGTACGCCATGGCTGGCCCATGCGCTGATGGTCACAATTTCGCTTGTCCTTGTTCTTATTATTATATATTTCCGTAATAACTTCCCTTGTGTTGTGCAGTATTCAAAAAAGCCATAGAATTGTGATACTTTAAAGGGGAAATCCACGTTACATGCTGATCGTGGTGTGTGAGTTCGAAGTTAGCTGTTGGTCTCAACAACCCCGTCTAACTCGAATAGGCCGTCAATCATTTCGACATAGATCATCTACGCAGGTGATCTACAATATGTTCGCATGTGTGAAGATATGTTTTTTCTTTAAAAAAAGCAACAAAAACATGTTAACGAAAAACATGTACACCAGTTTACTCTTCCGTTTTCGACGTTTTTGTGTCCTTGCGCAAATATGAGTGTATTTCGATTTCAACGCACAATTTCGTTCTTTCTTTGTCTGGACGGCTGAAAAACGTGGAAAACCAATGATAATTACGGAGAATTGAAATTTTCACTGTGTCTGTTTCTCATTACTATATTGTACCACACGGCTCTTTATAGTAAAGAAAGAGGACTATAAGGTGCTGAACATGGCAAGCTATTAGAAGAGCGTTAACGAAAGACAAAAGCACTGGGCTTAAACTAATGACTGGCAATGTCTTGGGATCGTCTCTACAGCAAACAACCACCCCCGAAGATGGTTCTTCCTGTATTTGGCATTGCAACTAACCTCTTCAGTTTTATGGGACACATAATTGAGGGCGTTTTGTCACAGATCCGCACCGGCTCACGAGTGGCTACGACGCGGTACACCTAACTGTCAATTATTAGCCTCCACAGATATACGTTCAGTTGACATGCCGATAGCTTTTCAAATATATCTACGAACCCCCCGATCTCCTACTTCCGATTTGACTTGTTTGGCATACTTCAGTTATTAAGGCATTGCTGGTTAAATAGTTTTCGATACTTGTGTCATCTCAATTTTCATTCTGAAAGGTCGTTCACAGTTGACCTTGAATATAGAACCACTGTATTCGTGTTTAACACAGACGCAACTAATCTTTTTTCCTTCCAGTTGAATCTTCGTTTGTTCAAATGGAGTAAGTTGGCTAACGAGTTGGACAAATCATCGTTATTTGCTTTACTTGCAGCACCTACCTGCCGTTACCATCTTTCGAGTAGTTCCCCTTTTCGATGTTTTGGTATTTCGTCCGATTTCACATCATCTTGTAGCCCGATCGAGCCCCAACAAAACTTCGAGGTACTGTAGGGTGAAAATATAGCCTAGAATTGAAACGGTTATTTATTTTTACGCCTCAACAGACTGCATCAGTGTGAGGATTTTTGAAAATCACTCGGTCCAATGACATAATAAATTCACAGAAATCGAAATACGAAATGTTCACCGCATGTCAAACGTTCAAGGTCGTCCAAACAAAACGGCGGGCGATTCTGGATAGACCTTGAGTGTTTTTGTGCTGTTCACGTAAATGTCGTGTAGACATGCAAGGTTCGTCCGTGTTTCGTTTTGAATTACTTCGCAATTAGTTTTTCTCAAGAATGTTCACCTGATGCACACTTCGCTGTTTCTCATTAAAGTCCACAATCAGAAGACAAAATCATTTTTATAAGTTTCACTCGGTATAACGTCACAGTGGCAATTCGAATATAAACCTAAATTCCAACACTCTTGGCTAGAATGATTGCCGGTTGGTTAGCGAATTTCTCAACGATGGGTTTGTTCACTAGTCAGGTTTGCAAATAAATGTAGGTGCGTTGGCTATTATGTCGGAAATTACCTGCGGCATTGATTTTCATCTTAATTGAAGTTACTCAGTAAATCTTAGTGACATCGTTTATAGCTGTTACTCCAATAGCAATCTTGATGATCCTATGTAATTTGCAAGTTACGGAAATGTCTCATTTACTTAATTTTATATCCCGAAATTTGATATGATTGTCAACTCGTCTTATTTTCAAGCTAAATTATCATTAAAATGTTTAATGGCACATAGTGTCTCTACAACAACAAAGTTTATTTTTCTGATCGGTTTAAAACTGACTAACGAAGGCCGCCTGTAGTGTTTCAAGTGATCCGATCTTAATCTTATTCGTGCAGTACATATCGTAATTCATTCACTTCATTTCCTTTGTGATGTTTAACTGTAGTAGACTATTATTAGTCTAGATTTGATAGGGGTCAATATTAGGTGTTCTTTTTATCCAGTATACGATCACTAAGAACAATGGAATATTTCATTGCTGTCCATTGTAATTAATTAGACTAAGTTATCACCAACGGCACAATTGGTACTGTTTATCAAGGTATTTTGCCTCTGTATACTGATATTTCTTTGTTGAGTATTACAAAGCTTTCCGTTTATTACAATGAGTCATTTACTGCAAATGAGTCTGGTGGCGAGACTCTAATTTAGGGACGAGCCAATCAGAAGCGTTTGAGCAATTTCAATTACTAACCAATCAGAAGACAGTATAAAGTAAAAATGTATTATAAGAAAGTAATGAATTACAGTGGATATTCTTCTTTTACATGATTTAAAAACTTGTTGAGGTTTGATAAAGGTTCAGAGGTTCTGAATTCATAATGCATACGGTATAGAAACTCGTCCATATGGTTAAGGTTGTAGCCTTTCGATAAACACCTCTGCTCTAAAATCCACTGTAAACCGATCGTATGTTAGCATCACGTGTTGAACTTGGCTCCGTGACCTTGAAATTGCTCAAACGCTTCTTTTTGGCTCGTCCCTAAATTGGAATCTCACCACCCTAACCTAATCCTAACCGTTACCCTAACCCTATGGACGCGTTTCTATACCATATGCATTATGAATTCAGAACCTCTGAAACTTTATCAAACCTTAACAAGTTTTTAAATCATGTAAAAGAGGAATATCCACTGTAATTCATTACTTTCTTATAATATATTTTTACCTTATACTGTCTTCTGATTGGCTAATAATTGTCAAGGTCATTTGGGATTCTTTCAGAGGTCGTCCCTAAATTAGAGCCTCGCCAAATCAGCAAAGGGGAAGTAGACTACTTACTTTTCAACAACTTAGCTAAATAACCCGTGAAAAATAAGGAATATATGTTGGTCTTAAGTAATGAATCATACGTCCCCTCGTATTACGTGTGGCAAAGCTATCCAGTACATCATAAGCAACGTAAAGGATAAACAAAGCCCAAGTGCACCGATTCTGACACATGTCACTCAACATCTCCAAACATTATTCGTAATCACCGCGCTGATACCAACCGGCTTAACCACCCACCCATACAATCCACTGGAGATGTCTATAAACTCATAGACTGATGCCGCATTTCGCTTTAACTCCTTGTGCTATTCTCAAAAACTTACTCCTACACTATTATTATTATTATTATCATTTGAACACATAGATATTAGTACAAGCAGGCAACAAATACATATGCGCCAAACAAATCTCATTTGACATGTGTGAGGGCTGTGATACTGCTCGGGTGCCCAAACCGAAGCAGGACTCACATTTCTACACTAAGTCGTTTATGATTGTGTGACACATCAACTAACTCGCCATATTTATCTATCACCGTTCGTCTAACCTCGACGTTGCTTCTTTGATGGTACCAACGTACGTGATCACTGTCTCAAGTACATGTGATCAAGTACTAGCAACCTACAAATATCCTCTGTATATAACTTTCAGGTTCTTAACGGAATAATAACCAGCTGTCACCGTGGAAATCTACGTAACTTCATTCTACATGTTTGTCTGAGACCGTTAATAGCTTTATGAAAAATACCTGC